GACAGTGCCCCAGATTTCCTAGATGTTTTTTGCCAGGATATTTTTAGATTTAACATTTTCTTTGGCTAGTGTATCTATTTCTTCTATTGTGTGGCTTCAATACCTGATATTCTTTCTTCCATCTCTATATTCTGTTCTTGAAGCTTGCCTCTGAGGTTTCTGTTGGTGGTCCTAAATTTTTCATTTGCAGGTTTTCCTCAGTTTGGATTTCCTTCATTGATTCTGTTTCTACTTTCATATCTTCAACTGCTATATTTATTTCCTTCCATTGTTTGTGTTTTCACAGATTTCTTTTTTTTTTTTTTTTTTTTTTTGGTTTTTCGAGACAGGGTTTCTCTGTAGCTTTGGAGGCTGTCCTGGAACTCACTTTGTAGACCAGGCTGGCCTCGAACTCACAGAGATCCGCCTGCCTCTGCCTCCCGAGTGCTGGGATTAAAGGCGTGCGCCACCAACGCCCGGCTATTTCACAGATTTCTTTAAGGGACTTATTTATTTCCTATTAAGGTACCTTTATCATATTCATAAAGACTGTTTTAATATCTTCATCTTGTGCTTCAGCTGTGTTGCAACACTCAGGGCCTACTATGGTAGGATTGCTGGGCTCTAGTGGAGACATATTGCTCTGGTTATTGATTGTGTTTTTATCATGGCTTATTGTAGGGAGTCTATTTGTTCTGCCTGCCAGCTCCCAAATCATGTATGAAAGCTCAGCAGGTAATTTAGGCTTATTTATATGTTTTGTATGGCTCAGTTACCTTTACTTTGTAAAGCCCATGCTGCTTGCTCTGTGTCCCTGGTATCTCCTCCCTTCTTCTTCCCAATGTCCTTTCTGCCTGAAAATTGCCTAGCTATGGGCTGTTCAGCTCTTTATTAAAACAATCAGAGTGGCCTGTCTTCACTGTGTACAAAAAGATTATTCCACCATAGTGTATAGGTGTCAGGCTTTGGAAGATTGTATTTCTAGCTGCTGATATCTGGTCTTTCTTTGTTGGGTGAGTGTTTTGCTTCTTGGTTTTTGTTGACCCTCTCTGTTCCTAGGGAGAGTGTGGTGGCTCTGTGTTGCCTTATAGGAAATTCTTCTGTGATCCTGATAGGTGTGGCCACTGGGGGTTCTAGATAAAATGTCTGTTTCTATGTTTGGGGTTACAGAAGCACAACATAAGCATAATAAGTTAGTCATAACAACCTCCAGAAACAAAGACATGACTGCAAGGTAACAAAATGGTAGTCATAACAACAGGTCGAGGTAACAGTCTTTTGAAACAAAGATAGGCTTTCAAGATGGCTATAATAACCTTTTGAAACAAAGACATGGGTGTCTTTTCCTGGAATAGGCAGTTCAGAACACTTTGTACAAACATCACAAAGTGTTCTGAAATGCCCAATCCTTGAGAAAAACAGGAATGAACCTAGTTTGTCTTTCCTATAGGATGGCTTTTAATCCTAAAATGGAGGCTGGCTGGTTCATCACGGGATGAATGGGGAGGAAGATTGGAGGAGAAGATATTAGTGACCAGTTGGAGATGGGGACACAGAGGAGGGGGAGACTGAGGCAGTTGGGGGTGCTACAGAGATGGGGGTGAGACTGGGGGATGGATTTGGAGTAGAGGAGGGGGTTGTGAAACATTTGAGCTAACTGCTTCCCTGGCGAGGGTTGCCGTTGGGTTCCCAGGAAATGCCCGCTGGAGTTGGGGACTGGCCTAAAATGATGAGGGGGTGAAAGAAAGTTTGAGGAGAAGATGTGTCTGTTCCACTAGAGATGGGGGAAGGGTAGGAGGTAAGACGGGAGGGAGTGGTCTGTTCCAGAGCTGGAGGTACCAAAGGGAGAAGGAGTTTGGAAGAGCAGAGGGAGAAGTGAAGATTTGCAGTCAGCCGTTTATTTTCTGGGCCTGTGAGGCCAGCATGTTCCCAGGGAATGTCTGCTGGGATTGCAGGCTGGGATAATGGAATGAGTGGGGTACAGGAAGGTTGGAGGGTTCAGGAGATCTGTAGGAGATGGGGTTATAAAGGAGGGGTAGACCACAGTAGGGGTTTTGTTACAGATCCGGGAATGAGACTGGGGTATTGGACTTGGAGGAGAGCAGGGAGAGATGAAGATCTCGTTAGTTAGCCCACTTGTTTCCGTGGCTGGAGAGGCCTGTCATAAAGTTACAATTTCAAGTTGTCTTGACCTTAGGTATTGGTGGAAAGGGCTTTCGGGTGCAAAGCGGAGGGAGACTGCAAGGCCAAAGCAGGTGGCTTGTCAGCTCTCTGAGAGGGAGAGACTGCAGGGCTGTATGGCCTGAATTTTAGGAGAGAGCAGGAAGACTGCTGGAGGATCTGTGATCTAACAGGCTCTCTTCCAACAGGCACCTTTGCAGTAGAAGCTGCCGGGTGGTGCACATAGTGCTTTTCAGTCAGAGGCTCACTTCACTTTTTCCGTGTTTCTCACAGGGACTCATTTCTGCTGTTGCAGAGGACCACAGATAACTCACAGCTGAGCCACTGGCTGTCTAGGAACTGCCTGCGGCTGAAGTGAGCATTTTAGCCCCGGGGTTTCATTCTCCTAGCCGATTATGCAGATTCAAATGCTAGGGCCCCACCCTAACCGCTCTGACTGCCGAGGTCGTGCTCAGCCTCAGAGGTCTCAGATACTGTCTGAGGCCCCATGGTAAGATGAAACTTCTGAGACGTCATACATTTAATTATAGAGGGCTAGGGGATAAAGGGGCAAGACAGTTACAATCTTAAATGGACAGAAGAGATTTCTCAGTGGTTAAGAGCACTGACTGCTCTTCCAGAGGACCTGGGTTCAGTTCCCATCACCCATGTGGCAGTTCACAATCATCTATATCTCCAGGTCCAGAGGATCTGATACCTTCTTTTGGTTTACACATGCAGCAGACATGTACATGGTATACAGACGTATGAACAAGCAACATACATATAACATAAAATAATGATAATGATAATACTTTAAAAAAGAACATAGGATTGTTTAGCATTGTTCAGCATATGTTAAAATTTCAACCCCAGTTCCTCTGAGGTGACCAGTCTGGCTGTCCTTTTTTGTCCTTATTGTCAGCCTCAACCAATTCAGAAGCGAAATCTACTTACTTCCTATGAGCGACCACTCATTTGCCCTGTGTAAGGTAAATGCAAAAAGAACTATTTTGTTGTTGTTGTTGTTGTTTTTTTTTAGGGGTAGAGGACATTTTCTAAGGATCTAAGCCTATACATGGTAGAGAAGCTTGTCTCAGGTTGTGGTCCTGTCTTTTTCTTGCTAACATCTACAGGAGTTCATTAAACCTCTGTGTTTCATGTAATGCTTCATCACAGAGATTTATTTTAACATTCTGTTGCAGTTTAGCTCTGTTTAAACTTCTTCTGGACCTACAGTTCTTAAGAAATATTATCAGTTAACCTTCTGTAGCAGACATCAGAGCCAAAGAAACTATTTTCAGAGATGGAAGCTGGGGAAACCTATTGTTGACTAAAGAAAATAGCTTTCACCTCAAAGGAACAAAAGAGATGGTTTGTTCTGGAGCCAAATGTGACCACCCACAGTCCAGAATCGCAGACTCAGGTTCTCCCAAATTCCATGTTCATATGAGATAGCATTCCATGAAGTTAATAGAACAAAGAAAGTCAGAAATTACCATAATTTTCAAATGCATTGGTGGGTATTTGAGGTAAGCAGGTTATAGGCATCAGATACTATCTTATCCAGATCACATTCTTAGTCTTTTGGTTGGTAAAAGCTTGAGGATTGTTTGTACATTCCAAAGCATTTACATAATGGTCATAAACGTGTTAGGTCGCTTACAGGGGAGGTCAATAAATGGTCATTAAAGGGGCTGGGCCCTCAAATTCTTTTGCTTACAACAGTTCAAAGTCTCCAAGTCACTGAAGTTTCAATCAGTCAATCAGCCTTTGCCATCAGATTCTTTCCTGGAATTCTCATTCATGCTGTTCTACTTAACAACAGAAATAAAGGGACCCCAGGAAGCAGATTAAGAGCTGGGACTAAGTGTTGGTTTACCATCGTTGTAGGTAGACGGAACACTAGTGGGGAGCCCTGATGGGATACTGATGATTGGAAGCACAGTGAGTGGTGGGATAAGGCAAGCATTTAGCAGATGGAGGCAGAACTGTGCTTTAAGTGGAGTGGCTACTACTAGATGGATCAAAGCACAGCACAAGACCGTGGAAGGCTGAGGAAGATTCGTGACCAATAGAAGGTGAAGGGTGAAAGTTAGAGGCTCTCATGGAAGCAAGACCCCCCAACTTTCTGCCAAAGGACAAAATAGTGTTGCATCAGACCCCAAACTTTTTTTTTCAAGGGAATATCAATGGTATGTTTAGGGCATCCTAGGGAAGTTTCAGGTTCTATGTCCTTAAGAAGGCGTTGATCAGAGACACACAATACAAGAGAAGCAGAGATCATTTATTAGGAAAAGGTATATTTCCAAGCAAGGAGGTGGGTAGGAGTAAAGAGCATTTAGCACTTCAAATAGCCCTGTGGCCCAAAGACCAGGAGTTTTCAGACCACATCCATGGGCTTTTAGGGTCATTGTATAGTACGTTCTTTCTGGAACATGCTCTACTTGTTCTACATACAACTTCAACCACCACTTACCTAATCAGCTTCTCTGAGCAGTGGATCAGGGTTTATCCCTCGAATACTAACAGACATCGTGTGTCCATAACACAAAGAGTGTTGCTCTCTCTGCCTGGACTCTTAGGGAAGTGCCTGGACCCTACCCTGAATGAAATGATAGACTCTAGATATCCTCTATGTGGAAGGAAATGGCAATAGGGTGGGAGGATGGGGGGGGGGGATGGGGGGGAGGGTGCGGGAGGAGAGGAGGGAGAGGGAACTGGGATTGACATGTAAAACAAGCTAATTAAAATAAAAAAATGTAAAAAAAAAGAAAATAAAGACAAAGACAGTGGCTCATTCTTACTAGGAGAATGGCCTTTTTTTTTTTTTTTTAATCTCCATGGGGGGTTTGAGTTTAGAAATACAATGAGGCATAGGTCCTCTATGGATACTCTTGTGTGTCTTCATCTATGAAGCTTCATGCTCAGGATGCCGGAAGGTTTCTAGCCTTCCTCCTTCCTTTCTTCTTTTTTCTCCTCTTCCTCCTTCCTCTTCTTCTTTTCTTCTCCCTATTCCTCTCCATCCCCCTTTCCTTCTATCCACTCATCCTCCTCCTCTTCCTCCTCTTCTGCCAAGTGGAGCTCCAAAGAAGATTGTCTTCTCAACTCTAACAGGATGGCTTTACAGGATCCAGAGTCCTGTTAGCTGAACACTGGGAATACAGGTATGGATATCAGGTCAAAATGCTTGACAAGTTCAAATCTTCTTGGTCCTTTCTTGTAGTGATATATTGTTTATGATCTGATAAAGCCACTGAATATCAGAATACAAATCTAGCCACAGCCATAGAAGCTGGGTGGTGGTGGCACACGCTTTTAATCCCAGGACTCAGGAGACAGAGGCAGATGGATCCCTGTGAGTTCTAGGCCACCCAGGGCTACATGAGAGTGACTCAGTCTAAAAAAAAATAACTAGAGAGGTATATAAGGAAGAAACAAAGAGTGTTATGTGAGATGCAGTTTCCAGTCACAGGGAAGACAGAATCTCCATTTCAGCCTTGGTAGAGGTAAGTGTTACTGACTGTCTGCTTTGTTTCTTTGATATCCATATCTGTCTCTGGGTTTTTATTATTTGTGTTACAAATTGATGCCCAACATAAAGGCATGATCCATGGAAAAGCTTTGAAGCTACTAGGCCCGGGCCAGAGCTGTACGCAAGGCTCCCACTGGAATCCCTGTCCAAATGGCTAGGTTTTCTTTTGTTTATTATTATTATTATTATATTATTGGCAACAGAAAATTATTATCTTTCAATTAAAATTTATTTTGAAAGTATGAAACTAAATATATCTTATTATGTGTGGATAAATAAATTTACATTCTAAAGGTTAAAGAGTATTTAATTTTAGACCACAGAGGACATTCACTATGAATTTCATCTGCCTTTTGCAAGTGGCTTTTAAATTAAATCACTGCAATTCTTATGTGCCTGCCTCTGTTTCCCAAGTGCTGGGTTTAAAGCTGTGAACCATTACCTTGCTATGGATTCCTTATCATAGTTATTCTCATAGGGTTGTCCTGGTTTAATCTGGTTCTCCATTTCCCCTTATTTGTTAGTGTTAGTGATAAGCTTTCATGCTTTTTGAATGTGTAATCTATTATTCTTGCTGATTTATTCTGATTTTTTTAACTGTAAAATTTTAACGGTCTAGTCTTAATTAAACATGATGTCACTTTGTCCACTATTTCATTAGTTTCAGACAGTTTGTCTGTCTTGCCTGTATGAGTTAAATAAAATTTGATGTCTTTGATAAGTTTTGCTAGTTTATGCCATTTCCATTTGTCTTACTTAGGGTTTTTTAATTGCTTGAAGAGACACTACGACCATGGCAACTCTTACAAAGAAAACACTTAATTGAGGTGGTAGCTTACAGTTTCAGAGGTTCAATCTATTATTATCATGACAGGGGACATGGCAGTGTTCAGCAGATGTGGTGCTGGGTGCATCTTGACTAGAAGGCAGCAGGAAGTCTACTGACTGTCACACTGACTGAAGCTTGAGAAAAGAGACCTCAAGGCCCAGCCCCCACAGTGACACACTGCTCCCAACAAGGCCACACCTCCTAATAGTGACACTCCCCTTTGGGGGCCATTTTCTTTCAAATCACCACAGCATTCATGTGTTCCATCACCAGATATCTTTGCCATTTACTTGCCAGTTAGTGGTTTTCCATTTTGATGATCATATAGCTGCACCATTACACACACACCATGAACTGGAGAAGATAGGAATCTCCCTTCTGCTCTCCTTTTTGTTTGTCTTAGAGCCAAGACTGCTGTGCTGATTTTGTGGTTTCTTCCTCAGTATTGGCCATTCCATCCTCTGGTCTACAGGTTGCCACTTATCATTAATTTTGGTTTCATCAGTGGTTAATAAACCTTGTATTGGCCAAATGTTGCGACCATTCTGTTGGTCCCTACAGTTCAATATGTGCCTCTTTTGGGGGAGGGATCAGCAGTTGAAGGATGGAGATTATGGGCAACTAATCTATTTCCTATGTGTGGGAAGGCAAAGACACTTTATCTACCACATTCTCCTCATAAAAGAGTTTAGATTGCTACCAGTTCCATTGTAATACCCTTCCTTCCATGACAAAGCCTGCAAAAGACTCAGTTGCTGAACAGATTCAAAGAATCATTGTAAGGGTGTCTTAATGACCATAGGGTGGTTGACAATCACAGAGCATAAAGTTCTCTATATGCTTCAGACTTGTTTCTCAAATAGAGAATATTTATTCTTCATATATGGCAAGAGTTTGCAATAGAAGCCAAAAAGCAAATGTTGGTGGACTCATTTTTGTTTTATGAAGAGTTCTCCATTGCCAATTAACCAATATCGATGATATCCATAATTAGGGTTCAATATTGGTCAGGGTTGCATGAATGGAGAATAGATTACTGGCAGTTGCATAAGTTTCCTTTTGTTCCAGTCCCCATGGGAAAATACCTGCTTTTCTAGTGATCCCACAGAGGGTTTTTTTTTAAATAATAATCTATAAATATGGTAGATGGTTTCTCTACTGTGCAAACATATCAATTAGGAGCTGTATCTGTGTTTTGCCTCTGGGTGGTGAGATTAAAGACATGTGCTACCACCCCCTTACTCACTGTATCTCTAGTATTTAGAAAATGACTAATTCATAGAGATCTACGTGTTTCTGCTGGAATTAAAGGCATGGGCTGCCACCACTCTGCTCAATTATTTTATTTTAGCTCCAAAGCTTGCTAACTCATAGATATTTAGAAAGCAAGTTTGAACTGTAGTAATTCTTTGAATTTACTTAAGATGTTTTAAAACTCTTAACTGTGTTGTTCATACCAAACAACAAAAATATCCTTTTTATTTAAGGAGAAAACTCAAAAGTTGATATCCAAGGTGGTGTGTGTTACATGGCAATCACAGAATTAAGACACATAGTTTAAGAAAACTCAACTTTCATTTCATTCCAGTAAGGTAAGTGTGCCTTGGTAAATTATCATTCAAAAATATTATTATTTTTATTTTTATTCTTTTAATGCCTGATCAAATGAAAAGCATTTGCTAGTCTTTATAAATTAGTTTGTATTGAGTGACCAAACTGTCTGATGAACTATCACCTCTCCTTATTCAGGAGGTCTTTCCTGTTCAATATAAATTTAATCAAACTTGATAGTATCTACAATTTTTCTTCTCCTGTGGTAACAAAAGCAAAATCTCTTCCCCAATGTAGCACATATCCTGGTTTGCATTCTGAGGTCACCACATCTTTAAAATATACAGGAAGATTTAATTCAGCAAATTTTTCTACTATTCAAAGTCTCTTTGCAGGTGTTGTTCCTTTCTCATTTAGCACTGTGTAATCTATCTCTGGGGGTCTTTATTATTTTTTATTTTTTTGGTTTTTATGAGACAGGGTTTCTCTGTATTGTTTTGGAGGCTGTCAGTCCAGCCCAGCCTCGAACTCACAGAGATCCACCTGCCTCTGCCTCCCGGGTGCTGGGATTAAAGGTGTGCGCCACTACCGCCCGGCTCTGGGCTTCTTTATTATCTCTTTATTTTTATTAAGCATATCTTTTAAAGTGTGATTAGATCTTTCTACAACTGCTTGTCCTGTAGGATGAAGATGGCAATAACAGTATCTGAAAAAGAGGTCTAATGTATTTTATTAAACTTACAAGATAAGCAGGGATAGGAGATCTGGGAACATGGTAGGCTTCAGAGAGAGAGAGAGAGAGAGAGAGAGAGAGAGAGAGAGAGAGAGAGAGAGAGAGAGAGAGAGAGAGAGAGAGAGAGAAAGAGAACTTTTTCTTTTTCTTCCTTTTATCCTCACCTGTGCCCATCCCCTGTCCATGCCCCTTTGGGCGTGTACAATATTGTGGGCTCACCCCTACAGTAGGAGTGTGCAGTATACCTGCAATATGCTTTATGTTGTAATATGAAAAAAACCTGTTTCATTTTACTAGATACATCTGCTGGAACATTGTCAGTCTTAATTTATTTAGCTATCCCCATAATGTTCATAACTTCTAATAAATGTATAATAACAGAATCAGTATTTTCAGAACTTATAGCAGTTGTCCATTAAAATCCTGAACATCTAATCTATGGTATATTGTGCAGACTTTAATTCTGACATGTGTTGTATACAATGGATAATTTCTGATTACTTGTTGTAGTTGAATAAATAGCAAAATTAATTCTGAATCAACTGGAATACATTCATGGGTTTCAACATGTAAAACAACTCTTTCTGCATATTGAGAATCATATTAAGAGATTTAGGAAAATCTAATAATATAAGAATAACATAAGACTCTGATTTTTGAAATGAATCATAAGGGCTTTGAGTCACTTTACTTATTTTTCCTGACTCATAACATGCTTTTCCTGATTTATTTGCATCAGTATAAAATGTAGGGATTTCAGAAATTGGTATCTCTTCTATATTATGAGGAAAGATTCAATTCATTTTTTAACTGAATTCTCTTGCTTTTGAAATATTTACTGTTAATTTCTTCACCCCAAACCACTGAGAGCTCTTTGCTAATGTTCATTTTCTGCCCATAAGGAGGCAATTTCAGCATTAATAAAAGGTACCACCATTTCTGCTGGGTCTATTCTTGCTAATTGATGAAGTCAATTTTCCTTTCAGAATCAATTCAGAATCCTTTTCTATATATCTCTTTAATTTTTTACTCTATTTATGTGCTAAAATATTCATTCTAATATATTATTTTCTGTCTGCATAAGAATTCCTGTGGAAGAATGAGTAGAAGGCAAAATAAAATACAATCAAGGTCTGGATTCAAGTGATCCACATATGTATCCTATAATTTCTTTCCTACCAGAGCTAATTATCTCTCAGGTTCAGTTGATAATTTTCTTGAACTATTTTAGTCCTTATCACCTTGCAAACTTTGAAATAAATTACTTAACTTTTGAGTAGTTAATCTAATTGTGGGCTGTAGTGAGTTAATATTTCCCTGCAATTTTTGAAAATCATTAAGAGTTTGCAATTGATGTCTCCTGATTTGTACTTTCTTTGGTTGAATTTTCTAGATAATTGATAGAATCTAAATTCTCCTTACCTCATCAAACATTTTCTGAATCAGTCAGTAAAATATCATCCATATAACGATAAGTTTTTGATTGAGGAATACTCTTGCAAATTCTTTCTAAAGTCTGTTATACAAAATGTTGATACAAGATGGGGCTGTTTAACAGTCCTTGTGGAATAATTTTCCATTGACAACCTTTTAACAGGTTGAGCATTATGATAAATAGGCAAATTTTCCTTATCCTGTTCTTCTAAAGGTATAGTTAAAAAAAAAAAGCAGTTTTAAAAATCAACCTCTATAGTAGACCATCCCTTAGGTAATAAAGAAGGCAATGGAATTACAGGCTATAAAGAGTACATTGGCTGAAGCACCTTACTTATGGCTCTTAAATCTGCTACCATTCTCCATTCTCAAGATTTCTTTTTAATGACAAATATAGGAGAATTCCAATATATTGAGGATTTAGAGTTCCAATATACTGAACACCTGTAACAGTTGTTCTAGTACCTGTAGTTTTGCTAATGTCAAAGGACATTGTTCCACCTGCACAGGTCTGTCATTTAACCATTTTAAAAGTAGGTTCCTTAGAAAGAGCAATAGCTGTTGTATCTTCTTTATGTACAACCTGAACAGCCTGTGACTACTCTTCATAATACCTTTAAATATTTCTCTCAAAAGCATTATTTATGGTTTGTTTTTGAGATTGGAGGAATGTTAATCTGTGTTTTCCATTGCTGCAACAATTATGTCCCGGTAAATTCATGGCTATGTTGACCACATATGGCTTTAGCTTTCCTATTTGTCCTTCTGACCCTATATACTCAACTGATTTTGCACTTTGTTTTACCTAAGATCTCCAGAAGCTGAACATTTACCTCCTGAATAGGCCAATCTGGATGCCAAGATTTTGGAGACCTTAATGTTGCATATGTTCCTGTGTCCAGTAAACCTTCAATTTCAATGCCCTTTATTTGTGATTTTAGCTTTGGTCTCTGATCATTTTTATCATTCTGCCAAAATACTTGTTTTCTGTTTTCTTCTGATTTTTTATTTTGTTTGTCTACTGAAGCTGTTCTGTCCGTGGTTACATCCAGAGCAGTGTTGTTTTTACATACCAAGAACAGTTTCCCCTCCTTGGTTTCCTCCCATTTCCTTCCTCCACCTCTCTTCTAGCCCTCTCCATCCACTCCTCTGTCTCCATTCAAAAGCGGTAAGGTCTCCCATGGGAGTCAACAAAGTATGACATGTCAAGTTGAGGGAGGACCAAGCTCCTCCTACTTGCATCAAGTCTGGGCAAGGCATTGCTGTATGGAGAACAGGTTCCAAAGAGCCAGCACATGCATCAGGGACAGGTCCTGGTCCCACTGCTGGAGGCTTCACAAACAGATCAAGGTACACACTGTCACCCATATTCAGGGTGCCTAGGTCGGTTCCACAGGCATTAAATCTTTTAATTCCTCTGTGTATGAATATCTGATTCTGGCAGGGAATGCTATGGGAGGCCCTTAGTGTTTTTCCCAACAGCCAAGAGATCCTTTGCCTGTCCCCTCTTGATCTGTATTCAATAATCCAGTGCCAGTTTTTGCCACACCTTCTGCATATTCCAGAAGGCTAGGGCCTTCTATTTGGATTATTTCTACAAAAAGTATTTCTTTCCTAGAATGCCTTGCCTACAACACCTTTTTCAAATGACCTTGGTAACCTAAGTTAAAATCTGACATTGGTTTTTCTTAAAACTTTTAGAAATTACTCCTATCCAAGTAGTATCATAAGGGTGAGATCCAGTAACAGTCATATTTCTAATCCATCCATCTATTGGTGCTGATCTTGCCTTTAAAGGCCTAATCACCTGTTTGCATTATGAATTAGTATTCATAAAAGCCAAAGATTTGATTAATATTTTTTCTGACTTCCTTTATCTGATACTATTCTTTATGCAGCTGAAATCAATCTTTAAAAAAATCAGTGAAGGCTTCTTTTTGGCCTTGTATAATTTTAGTAAATGGCTCAGACTTCTTTCCTGATTCTTCAGCCTTCTACCAAGCATTGAAACTGCTATATGTGGTCATCAAATTCAGGTTGCCTTTGTAACTGAGCATATTGATTTTCATCTAGAGACTGGTCTTGGGAAATATCAATCCTTCTAGCCCTATTTTGTTGTTCTACGGCCCTAGCTTCTCTTGCCACCATGTTCACCAAGCTAAGGACAAGCTTCCAATGTTGCTGTTGCCAAATATTTCCAATTTTGGGGGATAATTTTGTTTTGAGTTGTCTATGAATTTAGTATCTGCTTTACATTTGGTGAATGTAAAATGACACTTCCTTAAGTCTCCTTAAATCTAAAATTTCTATAGAATTCCATTTAACTTTTTGATAATCTTGGGCCTACCTGCCTATCATCTTCCGGTAGTTCTTATATAGTAAGTGGACAAACTAAAGTTGATTTTCTAACAATAGGGCACCCCGCTTCAGTTTCATCTTACAGTGGCTTGGTAGGTTCTTGTCTAAATTCCTCTGTCTGAGTATTTTTCTGATCTTCATTTATGAGTCTTCCTAAGGATTTTGTCTTATCTATCCACTTCACCTGTTTGGCAAAAAAAACAAACAAACAAAAAAAAAAACAAAAAAACAAAAACCCTACTATGGCTATTAAGGATAAAATACAAACAACAAGCCTGATAGTAATTATAACTGATATTATGTCAATCATAGTTAAGTCATTTATCTTTCATTTTATACTTCTATTTTCAAACTATCTAAGGTAGCATTATATAGAGTCCTAATGCTTTGCATTATGATATTTCCCATCCGTAAAGTGGGAAAGAGTTTTCCTTTTAATATTACTTAACTCTCTCCCTGAGAACTTCCCAAGTGTCTTACCAAATCTGATGGCTTCTCAGTTTGTCCGAAGCTGGT